GGGATTTCAATGGAAAGTCCCACAGAGTTGGTTGTTGTTCGTATGAGGTCTTTGACGGCCACTGGCTATGTGGAGGTATTTTTGGAACATCATGCGTTGCCTATCCTCGATGAAATCTGCGATAATCCTATTTTAATGCACGATAATGCCCATCCACGTATCGCTCGCATAGTACAAACGTACCTAGAACAGAACAATATCAGGGTCTTAGCCTGGGCAGCCCGTTTTCCAGACTTGAACCCCATCGAACATTTATGGGATAACCTCAAAAGACGAATAGGAGCACGTCCATCACTTCCAGATACACTCCACCATCTTCAAAGGACTCTTCGTGAAGAATGGGCTCACCTCCTGCAAAGAGACATTTCCCGATGGTAGAAACTATGTCATTCAGGCAAGAGGAGGGAATATGCGATGTTGAATTGTTAATTTAAAATCTAAAACAAATAATTAAAGTTTTTAGTTGAGATAAAAAAGTCAGTGACATGAACGGGATTCGAACCCACGATCTTCGGCTCAATACGTCGCTGCTCTACCACTTGAGCTATCGTGACCTTGATCCACTCGTACACTACTTCCCATCTCAACCCCTCCTTTTTGCCATTTTTCACATATCGTGTAATTTATTTGATTCTCGGCAACAAATGAAATGGCCAGGGAGAGCTTTAGAGAAGGTATACGGCAAAAAATTCCACATATTTGTAATAAAACTTGATTTATGTACATTTTTATATATTAATCATATTAATTAATATTGTCTAAAAAAGTAAAAAAAAAAAAAATTACTAAGGCAAATGGAAAAAAATGACGGACAGAAAAAATTTGTTTTCGATTCACTAGTTTTCGTGGTCCGCTTAACCAATTAATATCTTTCAATTAATTTATTTATTAATCAATTAATTGAAAAATGGCAAAAAGGAGGGAAAATTCAAAAGGTGGGGTTGAAATGGGAAGTTAGTGTCCGAGTGGATCGAGGTCACGATAGCTGAAGTGGTAGAGCAGCGGCCTATCTAGCCGAAGATCGTGGGTTCGAATCCCGCTCGTAACACTGACTTTTTTACCTCAACTAAAAATCTTAATTAATTGAAAGATATTAATTGGTCAAGCAGACCACGAAAACTAGTGAATCGAAAACAAATTTTTTCTGTCCGTCATTTTTTTCCATTTGCCTTAGTAATTTTTTTTTTTTTTTTTGCTTTTTTAGACAATATTAATTAATATGATTAATATATAAAAATGTACATAAATCAAGTTTTATTACAAATATGTGGAATTTTTTGCCCCACATCACCGTTCCCACCAAACATAATGTGAATAGTAGCTTTACATGTACCTTTACATCACACATCACGATATCACAATGAAATCATCGGGGTCAACGTCCGGAGAAAATCTGGAATATTTTCCCGTTCCGAGAAGCTCTCGTTCATTTCCGAATAGAATCAAACTAGAAATATTTCCGTCTCCTGGGAAATCCCCTGGTTTTCACTGAGACGGGGACAAAATAAATTTCAATGACTCGATTGAATGGTAGCCGGAGGATGGCAGATAAAGGACGAGGATGTGAATCACAAGTTTCGACCCTAGGCCGGAATCTCGGCGCAGGAAACGCGCCAGAGGTAACGGCGGCCTATCTTCCCAGCACGGCAGAACGTTTTTATCTCCCTTTCGATTTTTGCCTTTTTATCGCACGGCCCAAATTTTTGGGGCTTTTTTTAACGCTCTTTCCGTTTATTAAAAGGCATTATGTTACAAATGGGAAGAAAATTAGGAACAGCGAGGAGTAAAGCATTTATTATTCGTAGGAACTTCCTTTGTTTAGACTCTCACACATTATTTAATTTTAAAGTCTAATAAAGGTTTCATTACAAATGTCCTATATAAAAGAAACCAATATGTGGCCATTTTTATACACAGAAAACATATTTAAACCATATATTTATCTTTGCGGCATTTCAATTTTTTTAAATTATGTTCTGGATTATTTTTGTTTATCGTGAACTTTGACATATACCAAATAAACACTTCTTTTGTTTCATCCGTTTCATTGAGCACTTGAGATTCGGTTGAATATAAAATTATGCAAGAGCCACACTTTCATGTGGCTGACTCATCCGACACGCGAGGCGAAACCTGTGATTGTCGGATTACCGCAGCCCCTACTTACGACGGTAAATCCTGTAATAAACATGTCAGTAGACATAGAAACATGGAAAAAAACAATCCGAGACATTTGTTTCTCAGAAGAGATGAATTTACGATTTTTCGCGTATCAATTGTACCCTGGAATTGTCGTAATTACAAGGTATCAAGGATTAATTGTCCAGCACCGTTTCTTTATTTTTACTTTTTTCTAACGATAAGTTTTTTCTTTATTTATGCTTTTTTTAATAAAAAAACGTAAAATTCTGCAAGCAAAAAGATTGACTAAATCGAGGAAGCTACGATATAGAACATTTTTTTGGTGAAAATATTAGAAACCTTGGCCGGGTGTTCTTGCCAATAGAAATAGAATTTTCTATTTCAGCCTTTGTAGTGCATGTGTTTCGAGATAATGTTCTCTTGGTTGTTATTACGGATGTGGCCAAAGAAAGATATTTTTAATTTTAAATATCCGCCCTGCTTTCGCAGCTTTATTGTACCTTCTTCAGGGCTGTCCAAAAGGATAAACTTTACATTTTAATTAATTAAGGTTTTTAGTTGAGATAAAAAATTCAGTATCACGAGCGGGATTCGAACCCACGATCTTCGGCTAGATACGCCGCTGCTCTACCACTTGAGTTCGGACACTAAAAGGAGGAAAAATTCAATAGGTGGGGTTCAGATGGGAAGTTAGTGTTCGAGTGGGTCGAGGTCACAATAGCTCAAGTGGTAGGGCAGTGGCGTATCTAGCCGAAGATCGTGAGTTCGAATCCCGCTCGTGACGCTGACTTTTTTATCTCAACTAAAAACCTTAATTGATTGAACGATATTAATTGGTCAAGCGGACCACGAAACTAGTGAATATACATTTTAATTTTGGCCAATTTAACATCAAATATATACAGCAATAAGTACATTTTTATACTTACTGATTTGTGGTCAGAAGTATATAATCTTAAATTATTTTATTTTCATGCTAACCCTTAAAATCCTCAAATCACAACATTGTCAGTTTTACACTCCGCCATGAGACTTGTCCTTGCATATACATATATACTTATACACTGAATCTGTTCTTCAGTCCGAAAAGTTAATTATTTAAGATTTTCCAAAGATTGCTTCATTTTTTGGTTGTTGATATGTGGTTTCGTAACATAAGTGAAGCTTGTGTAGAAGTGGGATGTCTTGTTAATATGTCCGGTGCGTATAACTGTAAGTGCATTCTCATTTCTGGACTCAACAGAAATAAAAATTGTGTACAAAAGCGGAGTATTGACCCTTGTGGCATATCCACTCAGAAGAGCCGTACCTCATCAAATCGGTGACAATAGGTGGTACAGTGTGGCCGGGGCATGAGGTGCAACCTGAAAAGGTAAGCCTCGCGTTCTCAGGCACTTTCGTTTCTCAACCCAGGTCCTACGGAATATTTCCCTGAGATCTCTTCCAACCCTTGGAAGCAAGGGGGGGTTTCCAGGTACAAAATAATGGTGTAGCCTTGAGGTCGTGGCAACCTCTCCAAAGTACAAGCTGGATTCGTGTTGGCTTTCGAGTCGGCAGCGGACGGCGGGTGCTGGATCAGAGGCACACGTGGATCCTGTCTGCTTAGACGGTAGAGGGTGCATAACCATCTGAACTACGGGGTAAGTTTCGACGCTAGCGGAGCCCTTACACCCAGAGTGATAGAATTGTCTTCTCTATCTAGGGAGTGCGTGGGAAACTTGGTCGATGCATTTCGACCCCTTGTGGATATCCCTATACGCGCGGCCACGGTTGAGTGCACGCTGTTAACCCACCCCTTCGGAAGGGGCAAGCGGGAAAAGTCGACATGTCGGCCGAATGCTGCAGGATGATGTGTAGGCTTCTACACCGAACCTCACGTTAAACAGATTTTCCGTGTGCGGAGGTGAGTCGTTCCTAACTTGAAAATCTAAACGTGTGATAAGGCCGATGTGTCAGATGCGCACGCTAAATAACCTCAATGTTACATTGCAACTGTGTGGGGTAGCAAACTGTTCCAAACCCAATCCAGCTACATTGGAATGGACTCGAAGTGGCTTAGAGGCTCCTGGCGAGAACATAATGTGAACCTGTTCCTAACCGAGGTGCTCTAGGGGGTGGTGAGACATTCTACTATAAACAGAATCCGGTAGCTCTTACGCTGGAGGATCCCCAATACTCTGGGAGATAGAGTTGCCGTCTCTATCTAGAAAGCGCGGCAGGCTCCATCCCTTTCCGGGTGGCACACAGTCTGGAGCTTAATGCAGGCCCATCCACTCGGAATGGACAAGTGGAGAGTGAGGTTCGTCTCGGGGCGAGGACGTCTTTTATACCAATACTTGCGGCTGTAACACACACACCCTGTCCGAAGCCATGGTGCGTCATCTCCCATCTAGAGAATCAAAATGTCCGATAAGACCGAAGGGCTAGTGCGAACGTTAAAGATCCCCATGCCCTTTTAAGTATATGCGGCAACCAAGATGGCATTTTGTGAGGATCGTCGGCAAAAATAAAGCAAACAGCAGATGAGAAGAGGACGATATTCAAAAAAATGGATAGTGGAGATTGTGCACTGTATGGTACCGAAGTAAAAGTTATAGTTATTGTAATATTAAAAATATTTTTGTGTAGTGTTTAGTGACCTTTAGTCAATGATGCAGACCGCATCTCACTATCTCCGAATAATCATTAAAAATATTATTAGGCGAGCACATACCTTTTAAATTTTAAAAAAAATCGATAAATTGACAGGTTACATGAACAAATGTTTATATAAAATAAATGAATCAGATGATTGAGAACACTGACTTATTTATATTTATTTGAACTATTTATCAATTTTTCACAGTGACGTATTTTTATTAGTACGCGTAAACTCCCAGTAAAACGACAACGGTCGTTATTCCTGCAATGAGAACCTGAACCTTCGAAAAGAGACGATCTGCTGAATTCAACTTCGAAAAGTCTGGAAAATCTGCCATACTGACAAATAATGAGACTTCCTGCCTGGTCTCGAAGAAAACGGCATGCACGTTCTTTCCGCAAATTAAAGGGCTTCCGACGTCAAATGTGAAATTACTGCTCACCCGGCCACACAATAAAAACTTGAAATCTTCATCTCTATTGAGAGGCACGTACGGGCTGCAGTCTTTAAGCAACACCACGTAGGCTTTTCTCAACCTGTTATCACCATGAGGAAGTTTCGCGTTGAGGACATGCTTATAGCCAAAGCCAAAAGCCAGGCACGTTGCTCCTTCCGCGCTAAGGGACTGGATCTTCGCCCACACCTCCTTGAGATCCGATGAAACGGTAGTTAACGGCTTAATTTCATCGGTGAATTGTAAAGATGTCTTCAATTTGATGATGCAGATGTCATGGGCGTATCCGGCTTGCAGTACCACGTTGAAAATCATGGAAAAAAGATTATGATAATAGATGAATTGTATCGCTCCGTCATCTTGGAGAGGACTCGACTCAAATGTCCTTTTACCGGAGACTACCCTGAACATTTGCGGCTCAAACTCATGTACGTATCCGTCTTCAAAGTACACGAAACAACTGCACGTTGTCATGATGTGTTCCTTGGTCACGATCGAACCCAAGCAGTAAAAGTAGAGTATCATTGATTGGACAATCACCACAAACGGATATTCACCTTTGGAAACAATTATACTCTCGTATTTTTCTCCATCCTTTGCCGCAATCGCTGTCATCTGCAACGAAATCAGCAAAACGGACAGTTCCAATAAAAATAATTGAACCATTAACACTGTGAGAGATATTAAAGCGGAATTATAAAATTTCATGTGATAGATTTTTAGTAATAAATTAAATGTTTAAAAAAGGCTGTTACTGCTATATAAATTTGTATAAACTCGAAATTTTCAAGTGACAATCGTTTAAAAAATGGAACATAACAGAAAATTGAATTTTTCTCTCCGATAACCTACTTTATTTGTTTTTACATCTAGTTATTTGCAGTATTAAAGTTTTCTTTTACACATTATTCAAGCAAGATCTAAAAAATCCAACAGAAATTGCTTTGTACCCGTAAAAAAGCAAGTCTTGAAATTGGAGTAACGATCAATATCATTGGTCTTCACAACTTTTACTGTTACGGATAAGAAATACTTCTTTAAACCTCGCCCACCACGACCAATATTGATCTATTCATTTTTTTTTCTTGTTGGAGTAGGAGCTCAGGCTGCATAGGCTTTTGTACCAAAAGAGGACAACTTGAGCAGTTTTCCGCTTTTTTTGGGGGCAATTGCAGCCTTGTTTCTGGTGATCCGAGTGATTTTCTAAGTTTACCACATCACACTTGGTTTGATAGTTCTACCTTTTAAATTTACTAGTTTTCGTGGTCCGTTTGACCAATTAATATCTTTCAATTAGTTAAGATTTTTAGTTAAGATAAAAATGCCAGTTTCACGAGCGGGATTCGAACCCACGACCTTCGGCTAGATACGCCGCTACTCTACCACTCGAGCTATCGTCGCTTCTATCCACTCGGGCACTAACTTCCCATCTCAACCCACCTTTTGAATTTTCCCTCCTTTTTGCCATTTTTCAAATGTGTAATCTATTTGATTCTCGGCGACAAATGAAATGGCCACGGAGAGCTTTAGTGAAGTACACTTCATTTTAACTAATTAAATTCACTAGTTTTAGACATTTGAAAAATGGCAAAAAGGAGGGAAAATTCAAAAAGGTGGTGTTGAGATGGGAAGTTAGTGTCCGAGTGTATGGAAGTCACGATAGCTCAAGTGGAAGAGCAGCGGCGTATCTTAGACCTTAGATAAAAGGATAATGAAATAATTAATATGGTCAATTTTGACCGCTAAACAAATACGGACGAGAACTTCTCAACCTATTGTCTTAAAGATCTACTTTTTGGCATTTTTGTATAATTATTCACGAAAATATAAGTGGTAAAGGTTACGATTAAAAGGACTCGGCCTATTCACTTCCACGAATATTGGTGGCATAAGTTTTGTTACTATCCAAAGCTTTGCTAAGGACTCACGTGTTCAGGTAAGAATTTTCCCCTTCCGGTAATACGAAGTTGAACTTGCGTCACTAACAAAAGGCAAGTTCTGCCGTTTCTTCTTCTTCCAGGCGATATCTGCACTGGCTTGTTTCTGTTGATCCGAGAGTATACCTATGCCTCCGGAGTGTGCAGAGTTCTACTATCTTTCTAATCTAGTTCTAAGACATTATAGGATTAATACGCTAAGAGGGAAAAAATCTGGCCACTCTTAGTATTTTTAATTATCTCTTATACAAACCTCCATTGATGATCGTACAACAATATTTGGTCCGTTTTAAAGGATTAGAGATAAATAAAAGGCAGAACAATTATCCCACTTGGGTTTAAAATTGGAGTTTGTTAATAAATCTTTGTATAGTCAATCTCGTCTTAGTTGGTTTTTCTATAAAGCTTCTTTCTTACGTCCGGTGGTTTGATGTTTTTTCTAAGTTGTACCATTTTTATGTTTCAAATTTGACTGAGTGATGGTTTTAAAAGATAAAGATTCGGCTAGGCTTAACATACCCAGAAAAACTGTCCAATGGTCTTCCATGATACCAAGATACTGGAGGTTACTCAAGAAGGCATATGTCAGGTCGCCATGTCACATCTCAGAGAGATGATTGTGTTATTGTTTCAAATGTACTCCCTAATCGTCATTTTACCGCTGTTGAGACCAAGGAACGACTTTAACAAGAAAATGTTAATGTCAGTTTGCGCATTGTAAGGCGGAGACTTTCAAAAGCTGGATTCCTGCGAGAAGGGCTGTCACTGGCCCCGAACGTCTGATTATGAACAGAACAGCTCGGTTAATTTCGCAAGAAATCTCATCAATTGGTCTCAGGCACAAATCTTCTTTTCGGATGAGTTAAGGTTTATTTTGAGGTATTCTAACGGCTGAGAGATGGTTTGGAAAAGAACAGGAGAGCGATATATCCCCGCAACATTTTCGTAGCTTCGGAAGTGGGTGTGTTATGGTTTTGGCAGACATTTCTATTGAAGGTCGCATAAACTTGATCTTCATCGAGGTTCCTAACAGCTGCTCGATACATAGATGTGTTATCAGAAGTTGTTCCTTTTATGCCACTAATTGGCGAAGGTTTTATTTGTATGCATGACAATGCAAGGCCCCACACAGCAAGGATCGTTTCGACTACTTGGAACCGGGTTCAATTCAATGTGGCCAGCATGTAGGCCCGACATATCCGACCGAACAACGTCCGAATGTTTTTGTGTAGTGTGTTAAGGTCGCTAAGTACGTTTTGAGGGGAGGAGTTTTAGTATGTCGAAAGTCTCTTTGTCTGAGATGGACGGGTAAGGTTTGTTATGTCAAAGGAGATTAGTCGGGCAGTTGGGGAGTATTGTTAAGTTATTTAGTTTTTCTACTAGATCTATAGTGTTTCTAACGCAGAATGTGTTTTTTAATTTTAAAAAAATTTAAAAAACATTGCGATAAAAAAAATTAAAAACTACGTAAATGACCGTCATCTGGACCGATATTGAGTACCATGACCACGCCCCGTAACGCTACTCCCCCCGTGACAAGCGACGGACCCAATGCTATCTCCCTACTGTGACAAAATGACAGACAGTTCCTCACTGAAGATGGCGCAATGCCGAAACGTTTGAATAACTCAAAAAAGTTGAGACAGGCACAGTAAGTGACCCCCGGTTCAACATTAGTATAATTTTGTTTTTCCTAATGTCTGACAAGTCCTTGATGCTATTTCAAACAGCTCAGAATTTCATTATCGATCAGGTTTCCTTTAGTGTTGCCAGGCTGTCTCCCTGGATATTTTGTTTACTTAATTTAAACAATTATTTAATAGCCAGCCTTTTGATAGTTTATGCAAGCTTATATGCATTTTAGTTTAATTATTTTTTTTTTTTTACGAAGGTTAGCAACAGCAGAGATCATATAACCCTCGGAGTGCCGGTGTTTTCGAAAAAAAGCCCATTTGTAAGTATGTCGGATTCGAATGCAGGGCCGCTGGATTCGAACCCGGGACCTTTACCTTACAGTGATGAGCGCCGTGTCAACGCCTAAACCGTTTCGGTCACCGACGCCCCTGAATTTTAGTTCTTAGTTTATTTCCATAGATAGCAGCTCATTACCTTTTCTCAGTCTTTAAGCCACCTGTATACCATATATTGCATTAACTGGGATCCTTTTCTCCCAGTCTGCCCTATTGGATATTTTGATTGAAAATTTATCAAATGTGAATTTTGGGATTAAGGTATGCTTTAATTGCTCATTTTTATTTGTACAAGACACAGCTTTCAAGCATGCCTTCCATTTGCCTGTGAACTGTTGCTGTAGCTCATGATTAAGGAGTGTTGTGGTTAAATTCAGGACTTCAAGGGCAGGAATGGTAGTTGTTCTTATTGCCAGTTTGCTGGCTGCATGCTAGCCTCTGGGCAGTATTGAGAATCCACTCTCAGTTGTAATTTCTTCATCAACCTAACCACCTATCCTTTAGGTTATAATGGGTCTAACAGCAACTCTGTATAACCAAGGACATCCTGGACTTAGTCCATAGCTTTTCATAAAATGGTTCTGGGTACCACTACTAAATTAATCTGCTGTTCAGTACTAAGCAGTTATTAATTGTATTTTCTTGGTATGCTCCCAGGCATCAATCATACTGTAGTTCATAATACAACTTTTTTTTTTAAATATTATAGTTACAACTTCACAAACCTGTACTGATAATTCATGAGTGTAAGGATTGTAAATAAAATATCGAAACACTTCTAAATGAAACTTTATTACATCAAACTTTTTTTTAAAGGTATAAAATATAAAATGTTTTTGTTTCCCCGTTGGTTCTCTTTGCGATCATTTGTAGGTTTTGTCTGCGTGATACATTTTCAACTAGCGTGGAATAAAATGCTTGACGTACTACAGGTACAAAGTGGTGAGAAAGGAGAATTCTGAACACAATTTTAAATGCATTGGTCAGCTTGTTTACATTTAGAATTATCGTTCTTTCGATATAAAGAAAGGCCTGTTTTAACTACATTTAAGAATTTAAATATTACAAAAAAAAAAAACTAAATGCAATGACAATTTAGTCAGTCATATAAACTTCTAATGCTTTTTGCAAGACAATTTGATTGCAACAAAAATTAAAGCATATGTTTCGTTTTTAAACTTTCCAAAGCGTTGCCACTAAACACCCTAGAATCATTTCTTTTGATTTAATAATAAACAATTTGGCAATGTTTGAAGTAATAAAAAATATTTATTTATTTATTTTTTAATTAAAAGTAAGGAATGACTTTTTAATCATTAAATATTTATATATAAGTAAAAAAATGCACACAATAAAACAACGTAACAAAAATTGCAAACTCGCTTTCAAATCAAAGTTAAACTAAATCACAGACATGCATTCATTATTAAGAAATGTCACGAACAATTTTTTATATTTGTTATTTAACTTTTGTTTTTTTTTTAAGTAATTTATTGTCATTAGGTGGAGATGATAAGTACTCCGCCATTATAGGTAAGACAATACTGTTCTGATATGACAATTAATTCGTGTTAATACTGTTAGTACCATAGAAACTTTTTTTTAAATTATTTCCCTCTCAATCTCTATCACTCTCTCTTTTTCAGGGATTGAATCGATTATAAAAATTACGTATAATTTAAAAAGACAAAACAATGAAAGAAAAATATTCGAGGACAATTCTAAGGAACTATTAGCGAAGGAAGTAAATAAAAGTTGAAAACGTCGGCCAGTTGTGGAGGTTTACACAGAGCCTGAGCTCGAACCTTTCCCATCAGAGCTGTAAAAAGAAAATTTTAAGATTTTTTTTTGGGGGGGAGGGTTCATTTTTGGACACCCATGACATTACACTGAATGTCTTTAAATTCTTACTTGTCACTTTTGAAACGGACTGGGAATTCCTTTTCCGCTTTCTCTTTCTCGGTCCCGTTACGAAGAGCATCCCCAATTTTGATCGAGCGTAGGAAATGTTCTAAATTTTCCTAAAAAAATGAACAAAACAAAATAGGGAAACGGTTCGAAAAAAATAAAAATAAAAATGTTGCTTTTTGGATTTTTGCGCCGTCCTTACCCGCAAGTGGGTGAAAGAAGTTGGTGACTGGGTTGAAGCTTGTGGGGTGTTTGCCGGAGTGCTCGGTGTCGGCCTTCTCTGTGACCTCAACAAGCTTAAACCTAACAATCAAAAGCCAAAATTAATCAAAATAAAATAACAAAATTGAAAAATAATTTGTCTTTATTTTTCCTTATTTTTTAGTTGTTATGTTTAGTATAATTGTTTAATTTATTTGATTTTTTATTTAATTTTTTTTTGTTTTTTTTTTGACAATCTCAAAACTGTTAAACACTGTGGAAAACTTGACAAAGGACTGGAGCGACTATGGACTAACCTTGGGGAGACAGCAAATGTTCGAAGGAAGGATTTCCTGGCAGGTCATCCAGCCTTGCCGCTACGCTGATGGAACAAAAAAAAAAAAATAAAAACAATGATAAAATAAAAACGGTTTATTTTCTGATACAAGAATGGATATATTATACTTTTGTGAATTCCCGTTCGCTTCCGTATTCACTGCACTTGCGGTAGCTGAAGATTCCCTGTGAGCTCTTGAAGAACCTAAAAAAGCAGGTAATGTAATTGAAAATAATATTTTTTTTTTAATTTACAATTAATTAAGGTTTTTAGTTGAGATAAAAAAGTCAATGGCACGAGCGGGATTCGAACCCACGATCTTCGGCTAGATATGCAGCTGCTCTACCACTTGAGCTATCGTTACCTTGATCCACTCGGACAATAACCTCCCATCTCAACCCCACCTTTTGAATTTTCCCTCCTTTTTGCCATTTTTCAAATGTCGTGTAATTGGATCGGATTCTCGGCGACAAATGAAATGGCCACGGAGAGCTTTAGTGAAGTATACTTCATTTTAATTCATTAAATTCACTAATTTCGTGGTCCGCTTGACCAATTAATATATTACAATTTAAAAGTGAAAAATGGTCTGAGTGGATCAAGGTCACGATAGCTCAAGTGGTAGAGCAGCGGCGTATCTAGCCGAAGATCGTGGGTTCGAATCCCGCTCATGCCATTGACTTTTTTATCTCAACTAAAAACCTTAATTAATTGTAATATATTTATTGGTCAAGCGGACCACGAAATTAGTGAATTTTTTAAAATATACATCCTTGTGCATACCTGGAGGGGATGTGATTGGCGAATAGTGCGAGGAATCATGGAGGAAAAAACTATGTGGGTCTTGCATGTCGAATATGCGCATGAGCATTATTTCATCCTCCAAGCTTTGCAAAGCTATATCTCTATAATTAAAAGAATCGTTGTTTATTTAACGACAAAAATCTGATAAATAAAAACATTAAAATTACCCAATACTGTTATCAGATCTATCCCTTTCAAACAGCCTTTGTGCCATAGATAATTCAATATCATTGTCACCTAAGCAAAATAAAATTCTTCATTAAATTTAAAAAAATTAATATCTTAAATTATAATATATAATTAATTAAAAGTTAATCCACTACTTGCAAAAGTTAATTTTTCCAAACTATATTAGGATTTGCCAATAAGCTCTTGTAATTTTGACAAATTGGGATTTGTAAAACCTTTTTTTACAAATTAGCCATTTTAGCCACCAATTAGCCAATTATAAATTAACACAAAATTAACTCTTTTTAATTTTAATTTAACCCATTTCCGAGCAAACAACCCCTTTTTCCTTTCAAATTAACTCACTTCCACACCAAATTAGCTCTTTTGAATTTCATTTTAACCAATTTCCGTGCCAAATTAACCCCTTTTTAATTTAAAATTAATTCACTTTTTTATGTCAAATTACCCATTTTTAATTTCAAGCTATCCCATTCCCATACCAAAAACTCCTTTTTAAGTTCAAGTTAATACATTTTTAAGCTCAAATTAGCCATTTTTCATTTCAAATAAACCCATTTACACACCAAATAAGCCCTTTTTAATTTCAATTTCACCCATTTCTGTGCCAAATTAACCTTTTTAATTTCAAATTAAACATATTTTGGTTCAAATTCGCACTTTTTAATTTCAATTTTTTTTAAACTAATCTTTTTATTGTTAAATTAACATTTTTCGCACCAAATTGACCATTTCAAATTACCCCTTTTTGACCATTACTTAAAAAAACCTTTATTTTTATAATTATTTTGGAAATATTTATAATTTTATTTGAATCCATTTTCGTATGGTATTTTACATAAAAGCACAATTATTTTCTATTTAAAAAATTATTTTTAAAAAAGAATCATTTGTTTCTATGATTAATATTATATATATTTTTATTTCAATTGTAATTAATTTTAATATGGTCATCTAAAGCCCAATTACTTTTTTTTAATCTAAGAAAATTAGCAAATATAGAGGAATTTTACTATACATATATATATTTCATAGCATATCCTAAGTTTTTTATTGCTTTGAAAAAGAGGTTAATTTGAAACAAAAAATATTTGAAATTAAAAAAGGGCTAACTTGACTTTAAAAGAGGGTGATTTTAAATTAATAATGGCTTATTTGAAGGAAAAAAGGACCTTTTGAAATTTAAAAAAAGATTAATTTTTAGTTAAAAATGGATAATTTGAAATTAAAAAGGGGTTAATGTGGAGTTACAAAGGGGTTAATTTGAAAATGAAATGGGTTAATTTTAAATTTAAAAAATGTTTAATTTGAAATTAAAAATGCGTTAATTTGAAATTAATAATGGGTAATTGTAGGTTGAAAAGGGATCACCATTTGACATGTGACAAGGTTCATAGAAAGATTCAAAGGGTTAATTTGATATTAAAAATGATTAATTTTAAGTTAAAAATGGACAATTAGAAATTTAAATAATTAATTTGAAATTAAAACGGGATTGATTGATGTTAAAATGATTAATTTGGTGTATAAAAAGGACTAATTTCAAGTTTAAAAGGGTTAATTTTTCAGAAAAATTTATGTTATTTTGATGATCATGCTGTTAATTTGATTACCATGTAAAAATACAAAATATACGGCAAAAGCACTTAGTGATCATGATAATGTCATATGATCACTGGACCAACCAAACTTGGTTAATTTAAACTTTTAGGTTTATTTAGGCTTTTAAATTCTTAAGGTTCAAAATTTTTTCTTACTTCAAAGTGACAGGCACATCATACATCGAATGACTGTTATCAGATAATCTAATTAATTAATATTCTCTTAACAAAAAATAAAAAGAAGAAATAAATGGTTGAGTGTTGTAAACAAGACGGGATTTATTTTACGATTCTTAAGATTCTTGAGTGATTTCTCAGAGCAAAACTGCATTGAACGGAACTCCAAAAGTGGTCTAGCGCTAACGATTTTTTAAAAACCAAATGTGGTCACATATGAAGGGAGTGCGACTCTTGTTTGATCGGAAGATCATTTTCATTAATAGGCTCTTCATTGCTGTCGACGTCGGCCCAGTTTATCTGATAACCAGTTTCGGTCGATGATGAGCTGTCACATTCGCCAAAATCGAGAACTACAACAAATTCTAGAAAGTGAGTGAGGAATGTGTTGTTCTCAAATTTTGCCGAAATATAATGAAGTTTTTATTTTAGAATGGTGTACCTGAGGCAGTTTCGTCGTCAATATCGTTCTCGTCATTGCTGTTGCTCTCATCATTGCTGTGAAGACGATTCAAAGCTTGCACATCACATCCATCAAAAGGATCGCAATCACTATCCTAAAAATTAAATCAGAAAAATTATTTATTTATATATATTTTTATGTGTATCTTTTGTTAATTTATAAGAATTATTTTACTAGATTATTACATCACTGTCAGATAAATTTATAGTGAGGGTTGGTGACTGTAGGTCAGTTGTGCTTGATGGTGCAGAATTCAGGTGAATCCTTTTGCTCCCGTTGACACTTTTGCCACTACCGGAAACAGTCGAATTTACCGTCGTGCTGCTCATGCTGCCCTGTACAGGTGCCACATTGGTTGGTTCGTTTGTTACTACACGATCATTAGACCTGTCAACTCGCTAAATTATTTTTTTATCTTAACAGCACAAATGTGAATTTATTTTACCTAGAGTTGTTAGAGACTGGCGAGGCTGGCGGGATGTTCTGGACATCCTGAGTTGTAACGTCATTCATCGAGTTGACGCATCTCGCCTTGTCCATCATGAAACATGTTGCAGTTCCAAGTTTCTGCAAAAATAAAATTGTTCCATCATCTTTTTACTAAACATTTTTGTCTGTCAAATTAAGCTTTTTTTCCTTTCAGATTATTTCCTTTTGCCCTAAATAAACAATTCATTTCAAATGAACCCATTCCTACACCAAATTAGCCCTTTTTAATTGCAAATTAATCCATTCCCAAACTAAATCAGCCCTTTTTGATTGCAAATTAACCCATTTCCACATCAAATTAACCCCTTTTTAATTTCAATTTAACCCAGTCCCACACAAAATTTGCCCTTTTTAATTCCAATTTAACCCATTCCCACACCAAATTAGTCCTTTTCAATTTCAATTTAACACATTTCCGCACCAAATTTACTCCTTTTTAATTAACCCTTTTCTAATTAACCCTTTTTTAAGTTCTTATTAGCTCTTTTTAATTTCAAATTAATCCTTTTTAGTTAACAAAAAATGTTGATTCAAAGTAAAAACAGTTTATTTGAAGTTAAAAGGATTAATTTAAAATTAAAAAGGAATAATTTAATGCAAAAAATAGTTATTTGATGGGAGAAAACTATATTTAAGTGCAAAAAATTATATTATGTAACTTAGCTGTTTTAGACTAGCAAAGTTAAAAAGAGTTAATTTGAAATTAAAAAGGGTTAATTTGATGCAAAAATGAATTAATTTGATAGGGGGAAAACTAAATTTAAATGCAAAAAAATTATATTATGCAACTTACCTGTTTTAGACTAGCAATTTCTTCACTATATTGAGACTGTCTTCGTTCTAGCTGACCAATATACCACTGTTGATCTCTACATTTTTGAAAAAATGTTGGAGGCCTGACTTGAAATCTTGAAAAAAAAAAATATAAACAAAAATCAATTGTTTTAAGAATAATAAATACAACAGAATACCTGAGAATAAGTGTGTCGTTTTCAGTATTTAAATAACCTTCGCTTGCCAACAAGTCGATCCTGAAGAATCTGTTGTATCCCCAGCACTCTCCGACCTCAAAGTCCGATGCGAATTCTCTGACGATGTTTTTGTTTGTGTTCCGTGTCCCCTGGTGGACCATTTCAACTCTGTACTCATATTTCGATGAGTCTGGTAGTCCTGCGGTCAGCTCGAGGAACACAGAAAGGTAGTTGCCTCTGACAACTCCGTTGCCATCTGGGTAAACCTTCAACCTCCAGCATAGACCGTTGACGTGGAGAGGTGATGAATATACCGGATCCGCCTTGTGTTGCAGTTGTGTGAATTGTTGCATGACAAACGTGCTTGAATCGTAACTGGGCACAATTTCACTACAACAACGCATACCGTTATGCATCTGTATAGACAAAAGCGTATTTAGACTATACCTGAAAAAATCAGCAGGTACTGTAGGTATTATGAAATTTGACATGGGCTTCTTTCTGATCTGATGAATCATCCTTGATAGCTCTGCAGAACTTGATATCAACTCTGATCTTGTTCGTGACTGAAGGCTGTGTTCAACCTCGTGCAATAACGACTCGACATGTTCTGTTTCTGCTGTCAGAGCAGTTTTGTGACTCATCAAAGTTACAAGTTTCGTCTTTAGTTGAGCATCAAGACGAGCAATCATCAGCTCAACAGCATTTCTTATTTCCCTGACACGTTCATCTTTCGCATTTCTGACCACTTCAACATTTCTCTCCTACAAATCATTTCCAGAAAACCAGAAGCATGTATCAATTCATTCCGAATCATTTTAAAAAAATCCTTACCACATCTTGGACTAAACTTAGGAGTTCCATCAATCGCCTTCTCAATTGTGCAATCTCGTCCTTAATTTGAGTAGTGTGCTGCTCATAAACTTCCTCTAGAGGCTTGAACGTATGCCCAGAATGGGTTCCACCCCATAATGCACATTGGTGGCAGATACATCTTCGACAAGTCCAACAGTAAACTGAAAGTTTTTCCTCATGTACAGTACAACTGAAAGAAGAAAAAAAAATTAAAACAAATAATAAAAATTGCGAGTGATAATTGTACCGATCACGATCACAGCTATCGCCCCTGGCCGAGTTGCTACCAGCAGCCTGCAATGTGTCAAGCTGCTGGGTTACGTCCTCGACCCATCGGCAGTTGACGAGCTCGTGCAGGTGGAGAGAGGCACGACAGTGTGGGCACTGTGACCTCTGCTCCGTCAGCCATCTCCTTATACACATATAACAGCAGAGTTTTGAGCAGTGTGGGCAAAGGTGCGCATCTCGCAGTTTTTCCATGCAAATGAAACATCTGAAGACTTCAGCGAGTGACTAAATAAGACCACAATGAAAAAATTATCCAAATAAGCATTGTTTACTTTTTTTAAGACTAAAGCAATTTAAATAATATAAAAAATAAAAATATATTTAGTGTAATTGTAATACTAAGTAATGTAATGTATAATGTAGGGTGATGAACCTGTAATTTGGTCATTGCCATTTCATTTTGATACTTTTTACCCATATTAAAGTTCATGAGGAACAGAAAGAATACAGGTTCTGTGAAGCCAGTTGACACCATGATCCCAAAATTCAGTTTTGATGAGAAATTTCAAATTAAAATACCTGATAGAGCCGATTGGGAGAAAGGGTTCTCGATCAATGCCGATTAGATATAACATAGCTATTATACATTGCACCAAGGTGATAAAAATGGTGGGTAATACCAAAAAAAGAAGCCATTTATTCAGACAGTCAGGTAGCACTAAAGGCAACTATTTCATCAATAGTAAAGTAAAAGATTGCATCAAGGTCCTGTAAGGCATCGAGGAAAACAACAAAAAAAAATTTTTTTTTTTTTTGGTACGACAGCATACAGGGCAGAGGGGCAATGAGAAGGATAGCCAATGAAAGTTTGATCAGGAATGCTACCGGACCCTTACTCTTTTGCAATATACTAAATCAAAAACAAACAAAAATTCTATCAGACAATGGGTTAAGATTGAGTTCTCTGTTCAATGGGATTGTATTCCAGGAATGAGGTAGGGGAGTTCATCAAAGAAAAAGAAAAAAGTAACTAACAGCATATTTACCTAGGACATGTTAGGATTTAGGACTGAATTGATAGTAAGACTGCTAACTTGACCCTGCAGACTCCAAATGTATATGAATAACCTCTGGTGATGCAAGGGCCTACGCAGACTGAAATTCTTACTCCTGGAAGAGGAAAAACCAAGCGGTGGAGGATACACACGGGATCCCTTGGCAAAGTTTTGGGATTTGCTAAAAAGCCTCAATTTTAACAAAAAAAAAGCTCTAGATAATAATGGAAAATGCACAATAGACCAATACTGGTCTTGGTTCACATCATAAAGAGGCCTTTCATACCACAACATGTTGAATGGTTCTACATTATTGAAATTTGTCTTCTCAAGGCAAAGAATACAACTCCAACTATTCACAATGTTGGAAAACTAACTCCTCTTTGCATTTCGTCCTTCCCGGCCATCAAAGTAAAATGCAGCAATGACCTAATAAAACAATGGCAAAAACAAATTGCAGCTTACAGTACACTATTGTAAACCTTTATTCTACGTACAATAGGTCACGCTAAAAGGACATGATTAGTGTTGGAAGAGTACCTAAGCCCTCATTTTCCCATTCCTTGCCATCGAGGTAAGAATCTGCAACTATCGGCATCTATGTTATCCAACCACATGTATCACTTACAAGCAATGCTCATCCTAAATTAAAATACTGAGAACTGGTTAGTCCATGGATGTTTCAATGACTTCAAACCTTTCATCTGTTAAATTCACTAATTTAGTGGTCTGCTTGACCAATTAATATATTACAATTAATTAAGGTTTTTCGTTGAGATAAAAAAGTCAATGGCATGAGCGGGATTCGAACCCACAATCTTCGGCTAGATACACCGCTGCTCTACCACTTGAGCTATCGTGATAATAGAGGTCTGGTGACGATCCACTCGGAAACCAAAAAATGGAGGGAAAATTCAAAAGGTGGGGTTGAGATGGGAAGTTGGTGTCCCAGTGGATCGAGGTCACGATAGCTCAAGTGGTAGAGCAGCGGCGTATCTAGCCTAAGATCGTGGGTTCGAATCCCACTCATGCCATTGACTTTTTTATCTCAACTAAAAACCTTAATTAATTGTAACCTTTCATCTGTGTACATAAGGTCACCCTAGAAGGAGATAACATTCTTTTACCCTGATGTTTCATCAATGAAATGTTAAAAATTTGTTTTCTAAAAGCAAAGATATCACCATATATACCAGGTGTTGGAAATCTAGCTAAACCTTGAGTATTTGTCCTTTCTGATCATTAAGCTAGCTGACTCTATTTCGTAGCTATCAACCAACGACACCTATTATTATAAATAAATTATGGGTTATCAAAAACTGGAAATTGTTGATTTCATAGAATGCAATGCAAGATGTTTGATTGAACCTTTAATCTGAGTATCAGTATGTCCTCGGCGATCATGAATTACTTTTTACCCCATCATGTCAACAGGATTGTTCTACATTGCTAAAATTTGACTTCTGAAAGCAAAGAAATCATCACCTAAGCTATCATTTTGTCCTAGTTGGCCATCAAGTTAAGACTATAGCAATAAGGACCTCATAAACCAACAGTATTATTATAAAGCAAATAGCAGATTACACTGAGCTGGAATCTGTAGTAAAAACAAGACCTTGATAATGTAAAGATCGACCAGCTACTACTCATAACATATTTGGTGGTATCGGGGATGTGGTCCAATGAATGATTTTTTTAAATATCTATTGGGCACAGACATAGGAGTCAAGAATGGTGTGGAATGGGATGCTAGTTCCACCATTTCTTTACATCTCCCCATCCAAAGTCGTTTATGAGGACCAATGGAATGCTTGTAAACAGGGATTCTATGTCTAAGGATGCCAGCATTTCATCATTTTCGTCAGTGTGGTTTGATAGTTCTTTTACCTTGTATGAATTTGTCAAGTTACAATCTAACTAACAATTTTAAGATGTCTGCTACAATTTTTGACAGTCCAAATCCTAGGCTGTTTATCAATGAAACAATAATACATAATTGTGGGTCTGCTTTATAGACGTTTGGAAGTCCCATATATTTTTCGGCATATCGCATTGTTCTTTTTTAATCGTGATCATTGTTTTTTGGTCGATATATTTTTCTTTTAGGGGTTTTACTATTTCATTACATTTCGTTTGGATCATTCTAGTGGGGTACGTTTTTCTTACTTTATAGTTTTCTAGTAGTTTTCATTTTTTCCTCGCAGTGTGATTTTTTCCATAATTACCATCGTTTCCTTTGTCAGCTTTTGTGATGACTAAATTTGGGTTATTTTTTATGAATGATTGAGCTTTGTTTTATAATTGTTCGTTTTTTAATTATTATATTTTATATATATTTTTTTAATGGAGTCAAATTGCATAACCTGTGATTGTTCCATTTTTTACATTATTGACAACTTCAGTTCTTACGATATTTCTTTCTTTTTGATCATTTATATAATCAATTATCATTTCTACATCTGTAATTACTACTTTATTGGAAGTTACCATTTTTATATGGCAAATTGTACATAGAGCCTAAACGTAGTATGTTGTTCACTTCACTAGGAATTGTTACATTGGTAAAATTTTTACAAATTTGTCTGTTTGTAGAGGTGATATGTGTGGTACTTAAGCATGTTTTAATTTTAAGAATTTTTTGTTGACAATTTCAAACTCTTTTTTGAAATAGTGTTCACAAAACTTTTGTTGATATGGATATGTATGGGTGGGAATGTTGTCCTTAGACTTTTAGACTAATCAATTGTTTTTGGAAGTTTTTCAAAAGTCCATGTAAATGTTTCTATTTCTATACTTAAAAGTTTTTTTAAATTTAATAATTCTTTGTAAATTAAGTGATTAATTGGACAACCTGGTTCTGTCTGTGAGAACAAGTTCTTTTGGTTGTTTATAATACGTGTTGGAAAAATTCCTTGGGTTCTATATTCATTGCCCACATCCCCGAATCCCACCAAATATATTGTTTATTCTGCTTTACACGGGACATCCTAAAGGGCATTAGGATACTTAGTATTGTAAGATGACCTAAGACATCATTTGTCCTTCTGGGCCATCAAGTTAAGATAGCTATCAGCGACCTCATAAACTAACAGCATGCATTACTAAGAAACAAATTGCATCTCACTCTAAAATGAAATACTTTCAGAGCAATAAAAGATTGCAATAACTGTATTTCCTTAATGCAAGTCAACAGCTTAAATAGCCTCAAATCTTTATTCTGCATAAGTCCCTCTTGTAGTGTTGGAAGTCTACCTAAGCATTCATTTTGTGCTTTCGACCTATCAACGTAAGACTATGCAGCTGATGACATCTATGTCACCCAACCAATCATAGCTGTTACAAGTAATGAGAACAACGGATTCTTACACAAGAATGCTGAGCACTATTTAGTCCATGGCCATTTTAATAACTTCAAATGAGAATCGAACGCATGACCTGACAGCTCGGTGGTAATTTTAATCATAGTTACAGAACTTCCCCACAAAATGGAATCACATCATCATTTCTAAATTCACAGACTAATGTGAAACCCTCGGCTGATAAATGGATGGCACGATCGGACAAACAAGAGTTGAGATGACAAGTTACCGCATTGGATCCGTCACCGCAGCTGGATTGAGCGACGTCCATTCCATTCATTGTTGTTCTTTGTAGTTTCAACTTAGAATGCCTTTAAAAAATGTTGTCCCGAATAATTTTAAAAATCTTGACGTTTTGAAGAGAAGAACCTAAGGAGCGAATGACGTTAATTTTTTATATATAACTAAGAACCTGCGCATGCAAACGAACGCCATTACGGACATTTATCACATATGTAAGAAAATAAAAACATGTGGATTTGAAGTTTTTTTTAGAAAAACGTCAAAACGGGATATTTGATAGCTTTGCGAACTTTTCAATTCGCGCCTTTTGAGACAAATCTTGACCGAATATCACTAAGATAACAAGGTTTTTTTATTGACCCTTGACCCGTATTTATGTTTAAATATAAATAAATATTATTTTGAAACGGGGCAAACCTCGACGCTGTGATCTTCGTCGTTCTTGAGGTTTTCTCTGCCCGCCATCTTCAGTTATTTCGTCCAGTTGTTATTCGGCCGAGATCTCTTACCAGCAGACGATCCTAGAACGTATTATTTGCCCGTTGTCGCCTTTCAAATCGGTTTCGACTGGTTCAACCTAGAAGAGGCATGTTTCACCTTATAGCCAATTACCACGGACCCGGCTCGCCACGAAGGATCAACGAGGTGGAAATTAAACCCGAGGAGTTGTAAATTTGCTCATAATTTAACAAAAAGGCCGAAAAGAAAATCTATTAAAAACTAATTTTTATAACCAAAACACATCCCTGAGCTACTGATATGAGAGATAGAGATTAGAGAGAGATAGGACGGAAACAGTGTTGCCTACACAAACTCAACAGAAAAAAACTCAAATAAACAAAACAAATTCCTTTGTTTACAACAAACCTTTACGTAATCATTACATAATTTACCAAAACTGGTTAGAAAATAAAATATTAAAAGAATAAAACAATCTCGAAGATAAAATCACGGAAAAATAGATTTGTGAAAGAACTCTTGGAGGGGAGCATCGTGGAAATTTCTACTCAACTCAATTTTAAAGCGTAAACAAATTGTGGCCGAATAAGTAAGAAACAAATCAATAACAAATGTCTTAAAACAACAAAATGCTTCCATTATATCAACAACAACCGCATTTAGCATTTTAATTTAATGTTAATATTTTTTTTACAATTTTCGTGATTCTCACAGCCTAGCAAAATCTACAGTTCACTCATTTTTTAAAAACCAGTTTTTGCAGGTAGCTTTTAACGTTATTCAGTTAACTCCAGTCCATACAATCACATTGAAATAAAAATGTGATAAAGTATTCGAAAATGAATACAAAGACCTGTATTTTGGGAAATGTTAAGTCACACCAAAATAATTTTTTTATACTTTAACAAATTTGCGATCCCACATCTGTTTATGGCTCGAAGAGGATTGAAGATTGAAAATAGTTTGCCTCGTGTAGAAGGCAACGAGAAGGCCGATGCCCTTGTAAGAAGAAAGGCTGAAACGGCCCAAGCCTTTCTGTGTCTTAGGAATGCACTCTATCAATGAGCACCTCAGATGGAAGGATAAAAAGAAAATGAGGGAAGACTAGAACTCACTCATTGAACAGTAACAATCCAACAACCTCCTAACAAACTTTGGAAGGAAAAAAGTAACAGAATGCAGTAAAAGAAGCAGGAAAAATCTACGAATCCTAACAGTATTCTGGACAGTGCAAACTAAATGGACATTTGACGAAAATTGGCATAACCCAACTCGGCAAGTGTAGATTCTGCAAAGAAGCAGAGGAAACCTACTAGCAAACTTTGGTGCTACACTTGCACCTCAGGAAAACGTGTTTTGAAATGTACAATGTAATCGTAGAAGAGATTCAACCACTGAAAGTTGGCCTTCTAATCAAGTTCTTTGATGTACTAGGACTCACCGGTGTGCTGTAAGCACAGAACGGAGGATCCGACAGTACAGCTCTTATAGGTCGCAGTACATCATATACCAATATTGGTCTACTGTGCAATCTCCATCATTATCTAAACCTATTCGGTCAATTTAAGGCGTTTTGCCAGATCGAAAAGCTCTCGTTATTCTTCAGGCCTTGGATTTTGCCATCTGCCAGGGTGATGAATCTCACAGCTTACATGTCTTCACACCCACAGAAAACATGTTCCGCTGTGGCTGTTAAGGTACAGGCTTGTTTCTTCTGTTCCAAGGTTATAAAGATGACTACGGAGTATCCAGATACATGTGATTGGGTTACATTATAGGTTGTTAGCACTGAGGGTTTAGGAAGTCTTTCCAAACAAAAGCGGCACATTAGGATGATCTGCTTTAAGCAGAATAAGTTTTGAAGTCATTCAAGCTTCATTTTCACTATGGAATGACGATTGTCAGATATCCTGCATTTCCTTAAAAATATTCCAGTTTAAGGTAAACAGCGATTTATTTTTGCCATTGGTTTGTTACGTTGTTGATAGGTGTATAGTCTTGCCTAGACGGATAATATGGACAAAATACAAAGTTGTTACAACACTATCGATATAGGTGATCTAGTTTAGGATGAGAATTGATTGCGATGAATACATGTGGTTCGGTGACATGCATGCTCTTAGCCGCAGTCTTACGTAACGTCCATTGACTCAGCATACAAATTTTGGATGAACATTGTTTGTAATTGATATGTGACATAGGTGCTAGATGACAAATATGTCCATAGCTGCACAATGTTATTCGATGGCTTGGAAAAACAAAACTGGGCTTAGGTAGTTTCGAAGTCGGTCCTTTTTAGGGTGTGTTTAAAGCAGAATAAAGGTTTGATTCACTGTTTTCGTGGTCACTTGGCCAATTAATATCATTCAATTAATTAAGGTTTTTAGTTGAGATAAAAAGTCAGTGTCACGAGCGGGATTCGAACCCACGACCTTCAGCTTGATACGCCGCTACTCTACCACTGAGCTGAGTGAGGTCACGGCGTATCAAGCCGAAGGTTGTGTGTTCGAATCCCGCTCGTGACACTGACTGATTTTTTATCTCAACTAAAAACCTTAATTAATAAAGGTTTGAGTTCATTCATGCTTTTCGCTTGTACTATGGAATGATGATTGCAAGTATTACTTCATTTCTCTAAATGAGTGGTATATTGCCGTCAGTTATTTATTTTTCTTAATTAATTATTTTTTTAATGAACTTTCATGAAACTCCCCTACCTTTGTACTGGAATACAATCCCATTAAGCAGAGAACTTAATCATAAGCTATTCTATACGTATTCCTCCTTGGTGTAGTAGGTCTACCGTTAGTTTCTGCAATGGTCCTTCGATGAAGTTTTTCGCATGTTTTGGCCCTTAGATATACTCCCCCTTGAACCGAGAACTTATTCTTGATCCATTGACTGATATATCCTTGTGTTTGTCGATTTAGTATGCCGCAAAAGGGTTCAGGGTTGTCTTGATAGAACTTCCCTTGTAAGATTTCACGAACTGTTTGCCCTTCTATGCCATGGTACCCAAACAGGAGAGATTTTGTTTTTTTCCTCAATGAATACAAGGCTTTGATGCAATCCCAAATGGCTTCGGTTTTTACTACCGATACGGTTACCTTTAGATTAGCTGCCCGAGTATACAGCTATTATTTTATCAATATGCCCAGCTTTTTGATCCCCTGTACAGTATTTAATAGTGACACAACGCTTCTGAAATACAGCCAAAACTTATAAGAACTTTAGTTCTTGTTTGACATGCCTAGATATCAGTATCTGACCCGTACATGGCTTCAGAGCCATCAGTATACCAGATATAGTCGGCATTAACTGGGATCCTTTTCTCCCAATTTGTTCTATTGGGTATTTTGATTGACGAGCCAAGACTTTTTCTGCTTCTCCTTGGCAAAGTGAGCAATTGACTTAACATATGTTTTTCTACGTCTATTGTGAATCAATCTTTTCAATCCAGGAAGATTATTTTCTTATATACTTATCTGTTCAGTCCCACTGCGGCACAACGATTGCTGTGTCTTTTGTTTATTTGTTAGTTAATCATTTGTGTCAATGTACACATATATGGAGTAAGACAGACCCAGAATGGCTAGGAGCGAAAGGTATACGAACACCCCTTAAAACTGCCTAGCTACCAGGAAGTATCTCTCCGTTTCGCTCTATCCTTTTTACTATCTTTCTTTCAATTCTTTTTTCCGTTATTGTTTTGTCCATTGTTTAACTAACAATTCGAATAATCTATATTTAACCTAAACGGTTTATGTAACCGTGCAAAACTTTCCTATGTGAAATTAATTAATTGACCAGATGGTGATGGAAGATTCCTTAAGACGTATTGGGTCAACTATTAACCCTGGGCAAATTGGATGTTATTAAAAACTTCTCCATCTCAGGCTTCTATCAATGAAATAATGTCTAGAGGCTGAATTTTCCGTAGAAAATTTAGAAATAGGTGCTGAAATAGAAAATATTTGAAGAATGACGACCTCGCCTTGGTCAAAAGAGATGATAATGAAGGGTCCAATGTTCAAAATGTGCTTTGTTTGGGTCGGATAGCAGAAGTAACAAACATAGTCGTTATTTATCAGAAGAGAGACGGATTCCTCTCAAATATTACTAAAAATACACGAAGGTTAAATTCCCAAAAATAGCAATTGATAACTCAACGAGTTTCGTTATTCTTCTAACGATTAATTTATTTTATGAAGGTCCTACAAAAGCTATTACTTAGCGATTTCAAACGACCGACATAATAAGCAGAGCGATGCAAGACGGACATTGTTCGATCAAAATATTTTTTTTAAATTTAACGTGATGTGCTCAAAATAGATCGTGTGGATGTTGGATCCCACTAGGAGAGAAATAATGCTGCTATAATGTGGGTACTTCTTATCGTGGATCGTGGACGTGTCATCAGAATAGAAGTTTCGGATTTCTTTCCAAAATAGCTGAAGGAAATTTAAACCCTAAGAGACCAACTTGCTAGATTTGTAACCGTGTTTGAATCGAAGTTTGCTTGACTGAAATGAATATCGAGACTGTCCCAACTCCATACATGAAAATTCTAAAAAAAAAAAAAATTTACAACCGAACCCCTGCGAATGTTAAGGTATTATTGTGCTTTCTTTTATTTATATAATTGTACGTTTTAATTTTATTTGTTTTTGACTAGAATGTGTGGCTTCTACCAGTAAAACAAAAACGCAGTACGAGATCTACACGGTATTTACCATCTATGCAGACATAAAGTTCACACAAAAACACACACACACTGGCAATGTTGCATAAATGCCAGTGTAGCTCTTAAAAAATGTTATGATTTAGCGTTCAATTATTCCGTAGAATATAGTACTTATCTTTCTTAACTTTTACGACAAATTACGCTGCCAACTCTGTCACCGTGATTATTATGATTCAACGCGAAATGTGTCAACAAGGTTGTTAGGTACTAGAAATAGATCAAACCAACTCAAGGACGTTTTGTGCGAACACGACAAAACCAGCACAGATGAAATTTTTAAAAACATAAAAATGATCGTACATAATGAATAAGTATGTTTTAGGTAAAATTCGGAACCACTGATTACGTGGTAACTTAAGTAATATAATAAAATTATCACGTTATAAAGAATCGTTCCTGAGGGTGAAGATACCGTTTTTATGACAAGAAAACGCAAAATCAAATATACTTTCACGTTCATATCAAATCACAACCTTTTTTTGGACAAAACGAAACTGGTTCCACGAGGTTCCGAGCTTTCGAAGCGATTCAAATATATATTTAAATTCACTAATTTCGTGGTCCGCTTGACCAATTAATATATTACAATTAATTAAGGTTTTATGTTGAGTTAAAAAAAGTCAATGGCACGAGCGGGATTCGAACCCACGATCTTCGGCTAGATACGCCGCTGCTCTACCACTT